CGCTGCGAAACGAGTTCTGTCACTCCTAAAATTGCAGTTTCTACGCCGAGTGTAAACGAAAGAATCGTTTCGATTGGTACAAAAGCGACTACAAAGATTTCGGATCAAATAATTTTTTCGGATAATTCGAAGAGTCTAAAATTGCCTGAAAGCACGAAGAGTTTAAAACTGCTCGAAGAATCAGTGACATCTGTTCCTGACAAATCTTCGACATTTATCACAAAATCAATTAATAGTGATATTAATATAGATAGTACAACTTTGAAGACGGTTACGCCGAGAGCTGTATTAGAAACTAAAAATCCTGAAAAGAAAATTGAAAAGACGGTGGAAACGACAGTGAGTAGTTTGTTATCTTCGATCCGTCCAGGATCCCTAAAGCAAATCGAGGAGATGATTGATAAACAAGATTCTCCATATGAAGTATCATACACAGTAAAAAAAGACGAGGATCTAGAGACGACTGCTGACGATTTTATTAGTCGACTGATCGCTCAGCATCAGCGATCGGATTTCCTTTCGAAGGATGAATTGGATGATATCGAAATTGTCAAATCTGTCGAGCCATCAGAAACGGAAATTACTAGCATTTTGCAGAAATCGAAATTTCCTGATACTAGTCACGTCTCTCCAAATAATGCGAGCAATGATAGTTTTTACGTTGCTGAAAACGATACAGTCAGTGAATTTGAACAATCGGATTCGAATATGAGTATGGCGAGTCTTCTCCAACTGATGGCGGAATTGTTGAAATTAGATCGACTGCCGCGGCCATTTTCCACGAAAGATTTAAGTAGTCTAAAGAATTCATTTAACCGGGATCTTGATGAATCATCGTACGACACAACGAGTCCACCATTGGATTTTTCGCAAACCGGAACAATGTACAAGAATGCAAGTCCTAAAGCATCAACGTTGAAGACACCCATTGCTGAATCGAAATCGTCACTGAATTTACATTTCAATAAACTATCGTTAACCACAGGGAGTCCACTATTGGATTATCCACGAGTCAGAACGCCGTCCGAAAATGCAGATTCCAAGATATCGTCCTTGGATGAAACTTCGGAAATTTCGGAAACACCTATTAACGTTGATTTAAAGCCACCGAATGTTTCTTTGAGAGTCAATTTTAACAATGTCATGGAACAGAAGACAAGTCAGTCGAAACCAGAAAGCAAAATCGCTCGACCACTTCAGAAGGAGGAAATCTTAGAACAATTGACGGAAAACTTCGGAAAGCCTCTTTACCGCGGTGATTTGATCCATAGACCACTCGTCTTCGATCTACCGCAAGTGCAGAGAAGTTTGAATTTCGAGACCGGTTTGCCGATAGAAGAGAGCGAGTATGCAACTAACGAATCGAAAGAGGAAAGTCCAGTGTCTACTACGAGAGCGACGACGACAACGACCACAACGACTACAACGACGGAATCTGTAAAAACCACCGTCGAAACTGAGTTCGTTCCTTCTCTGGGATTCTCTTTAGATACCAACGAAGGTCGCGAAGAGTACGTTCAAGCAGTACTCGGAGGATTGATCGACGAGCACACCGGTGAAAGTGACGGAAACGAAACCAGCATTGTGCAAAACAAAGCTTCAAAAAATGAAACATTGGAATCCGAATAATATGAGAGTTCAAAAAAATCTCTGAAGAATACAAAAAATATTAAGAACTTTTAGAGATCTCTGAAATATCTTTGATGATTAATTTCTTCAATGTCGATCAACTATAATTGGTCCTTGATTTTCTTAGAGAATTATGATTAACGTTCATTTCTACTTTACAGATAACTACCTTAATTTTGCTTTAATTTACTCTTTGATCGGTATTCATACTCCGTTCTTATTTCAAGATTATCAACTAATGTTTTAAGATCCTAAAACTTTACTCTGTGATTGCATATGATATCTTAAAAAAAAAAGACGATTTTAAATATAAAAATCGAATATGAATGCCTTTATCTTCTTCTAATTCTTATAATTAGAATAAGAAAAAAATAAATGGTACGTGAGTCATTGATGTTTATATTATTTAAAAATACTAGAACATAACAAGTGTGCGCTTCGCGCGCGCCATTGTTAAAGACAGAAATATATAAGCAAATAATAAAACAGGAAGAACAGGGAGGGAGGAAAAAAATTAGGATTAATATGTGTTAAATATCTGTTTAGATCTTAAATATATGTTTATATGTTTACTTTGATATTGACTATGCGATAGCTTTTTTCGGAAAGATTTAAATTGAATACTTTTAAACAATTCTATTTAACATAAAATTTCTTACTAATCTCCAGCGGAGGTTAGTATAGGTTAACAGGAAAGACCGAGAGACTATAATTATGAATTATGAATTATAATATTTATTATAGTAACAAAATTTTCATTTTTACAATTAACTATTAACTATTAACCACATACATCTAACATGCGATCTCCGCGATGATGACGGCTGCTCACGAAGTAACCACAGCGAGAGAACCAATCGGCATCGCCGAAAAGAGGGCAACAATATTTCGATATATTCGACCATCGACTTGCATCTCCTTTTTTAGAAAGGAAATAAAAATTATTACTTTTAAATATTAATTGATATATGAAACTTATATGTATATAATTTTATATTACAAAAAGATTAAAAATCTATAAAAAAAATTACTTTTACATATTTAAATACGGAATAAATATTACATTGCTTTCAAATAGTGAGATGTATATCTAAAGTCGTTATATTAATCAAGATTAAAATTAATTAATACGCTACTAAAAATGGTGTATGCACGTTTGGCCCATTATTTCTCCCACGCCAAAATGTAACATGAATTTCTCAATGTGTATATGTATAAACCAATACAGAATAGACCTCCATGGCATGTCTTAAGGATATGCAGAGAACGTTTCAGTCCTAAGAATATCCCAGAATATCCTTCGGATAAAGTATTCTGTGTGGAGATAAGACGTTAGACGTTGTGAAATAGATTTTACTGTTTGATAAAATGAACTACGATGAACACTCGTAACATTTCGTAGAACGGTGTCTTGCTGTAAGAGAATAGCGTGTATATGTAAAAATAATGTGTGTATCCGATGTGAGTGTAGGAGAATATATATATATATGTAACACTGCTAATATTTTGTTTCTCTAATCCCAGACAGAGAGAAATCGGAGAGGGACTACCCTCGTATTTTTCGTACGTCCATCAAAATCACCCATAATAACACGAGTATGTAAATTCATTTTCGATATAGGAACTTATGTGTAGTTATGTACTGGCGATAAAATCGCGGTGTTAAAAATGGATATGCATAGGCCGTGTTCCAATATACACCAGAGAGAAGCTTGAAAGAGGACATGAGGACCTTTTTCCTGTAACCGCAAACTGCTCCCGCGCACTCCTGCCCTCTGAAGAAGTGAATGTTTGAATATTCAAACAAGTTAATTTAACAAATTTTGTTTTATAATACTCGTCTGCATAAGTGACTCGATAAGTCTAATACCTTTTTACCACTATAACTTCTAAAAATGTGAGGACATGTTTGTTATATTGAAAATTACAAAGATTAACAGAATGCACGGATTTGCTACAATTTTTGGGGATATACTGTTTGTAGCGTCATAAAGTTCGAAACTTTCCATTTAATTAAAGAAAAAAATGCAAGCTGCTGCGATTACTTTTCTCAAAGTTACGATACTTTAAAGTAATCTTTGCATTTTTTACATGTACTAGTAACATTATCATTATCGGATACGTCTCAGCGAGAAATAGTTCATCGAATCAATGTCCATTCGACATCGAAATGATGATTTTGAACGAAATTATATTGCCACAACAAGTCTAAATAACTGGATAACGGTGTATAAATAAATTTCCATTAGAACAACGACAATGGGTGCATTCAGTATCATGAGCGCTCAGTGAGTTCTTGCATCTGATTGGCATATTCTGTTAGAACTAAAAATATAGACCAAACAGATACAAGAGCTCACTGAGCGCTCAGTGAGCCATCATGGTACTGAATGCTCCCAATGTATACGTTTTGGCCATTATTTGGGACCTCTTCAGTACATTAATAATAAGAAGTAACTGTCTAATATTATATAATATATTTATTAATAAAATCATGATATATACATACTATCGGATTAACAACTAATTAATCTTACAATATATTAAACCTTTATATATAGTCTAACGTAATTTTCAGCCATATTGATAAATTGTTGATAATATGTAATCATAGTGCTTACGTCTTCAAATATAATATATAAATCTATAGATAAATCGACAGAAAATTGCCAAATTTACAGAACAAAGAAATATTACATGTTATGTCAATTATGTAAAATATAAATAGAAAGCAATAATAGAAATTTACCAAGTAGCACACAGCTCTTACAAAGCGTTAATAAAGCGCTAAAAAGCGCATATTATAATTGCCTTTTTAGCGCTTCGCAAGTGCTGTGTGCTACTTGAGTTACATGTAACTGCTGTACGAAACATATTTGAGGTTCTGTCTATCCAAATGATCTAATAAGAAAATAAATTAATGTTGACCTGAGAAGAATTGGAGAGAGGGAAGCAACAAATCATAATAAATAAAAATATGTATAGGCTCTAAACTAACGGACACGGAGCTCTTACGCAGCATGCCACGTTACAGTATCAAATTTTTGGTGGGAAAAGGAACACACCGAAAGATTTTACTATTATATAGAGAGAGATAAGAGAATTTTTATGCAATTATTAAGAGGATTTTTATGCAATTATTTTGCAATTAACATACGATTTGAGTTGTATAAATATATAGATCTGTTACATCTCGTGATAAAACAGATTCAAACTTTAGAAATATCAATATTTATGTATGTTCCGTTAAAGAATCACATATACACGCGCGTATCTGTCATTGAACTTTTAGAAGTAGTTTCTGCAAGCGCTTTTTCACATCGTTGAACCATCTGTGATTAGTCACTAATTTTCCGTACATAGCGATTATAATGGCAGAGACAGAAGCAGGAGACAGTTTGATTCCAGTTCGCTGCTGGATCCGTGAACATTACACGAAATTGACAAGGAGTAACGAAGCAAGGTGCAATCATTGTAATGCAATATTTAGTATACATCTAAAACGCTTAGTTACTTTACATAAGCACTTGGTTAGGGAACATCCAGACAAATTAACAGAAAAAGAGAAGAATGAAGTGAAATTACATTGGGCTTGGGATTATTATATCGTAAAAAGCAATACAGAAGCAACATGTAGACTATGTAAAGTAACAGTGAGATACAAGCAAGTAAATGGATTCAAAAGACATTTAAAAAGAATTCACGAGTAAGTATCTCATATATAAGTATCACATGTATAGTAAAAAAATTTAAAAACGTACTAAGAAATATAAAGTTGATTAAAACAAAATAATCAATATTTGCTAAAGATAATGTAGCCCAAACAAGAGTATCCATTTGTCGAAAAAATTTGTCAAATATGCGTGTCAGTAAATATAATATAAAACATATCTATTCGTACTAAATATGCATAAATATTCTGCAGTCTTATTTTGTACAAAGTGCATCCTAGAATTCGAATTTACTTTCCATGTTTAAAAAGAATTAGTAATATTTGATCACTCTAATTTTTACCGAGTAATGGTCAGATTTGTAAAATATTCGAATCTACTTGATTGCTATGATCCTGATCGCTTTTAAATGTTCCAGTAATAAGAATCTGAATAAAAAATGATAACTTTCAAAATTTCTAAATAATTGAATATTGTTCGTAATTGGAAATAATATCTTTACAGCACTTTTATTGTCGCTTTTTTTATAATTTCTTATACATATAAATGTAGGATGTCAGGTCCAACTTCAGATAACGTAATAGATAACGAAAGCAGTTCAGATGATGACATGGATGCAAACAAGGATATAACTCTAAGAGAAGCAACACGTCAAGATACTTCATCCAACTTAACAAACTTATCCGACAGATTAAACGAATGTACAGAAGGAATAAAAGGACTTAATGAGTAATTATAATCGCTTTCAATCAACTACAACATATATAAATAGATTTTATAAATTAAACATGGTATTTCCTATACAATATAATCTATCTATTATGAGAAATATTCATTTATTGTTTCATCAGTTACATGTATAATAATTAACTAATTAGAAGTTATTCTTTTAGGGAAGCACAAAATAATTTCGTCCCAGTTCGGCTCTGGATGCGTGGACATTACACAAAATTGAAAAGGAACAAAGAAACAAGATGCATTCATTGTAATGGTAAATTCATTACAAGTATTACGAATTTATCTATTTTACATAAGCACTTGATAGAAACACATCCAGACAAATTAACAGAAGAAGAGAAGAATGAAGTGAGATTCCATTGGGCTTGGGACTATTACATCGAAAAAAGCAGTACAGAAATAACATGTAAACAATGTAAAGCAACAATTAGATACAAAAAAGTAAATGATTTGAAAGAACACTTGAAAAGAAAGCACGGGTAAGTATCTCATATATAAGTACCTCATTCATAGTAAAAAAATTTAAAAACGTACTAAGAAATGTAAAATTGATTACAACAAAATAATCAATATTTGCTAAAGAAATTGTAACCCAAATAAGAACATTCATTTGTCGAAAAATTTGTCAAATATGCGTGTCAGCAAATATAATATAAAACATATCTATTCGTCCTATATGTACATAAATATTCTATAGTTTTATTTTGTACAAAGTGCATCCCAGAAGTCGAATTTACTTTCACCATGTATAGAAAAAAATCAATAAAATTTGATCCCTTTAATTTTTATGTCGAGGAATGATCAGATTTATAAAATATTTGAATCTACTTGATTGCTACGATCCTGATCGCTTTTAAACGTTCCAGTAATAAGAATCTGAATAAAAAATGATAATTTTCAAAACTTCCACATAATAGATTATTGTACATAATTGGAAATAATATCTTTACAGCATTTTTATTCTCGCCTTTTTGATAACTTCTTTTACATTTAAATGTAGGATATCAGGTCCAACTTCAGATAACGTAATAGATAACGAAAGCAGTTCAGATGATGACATGGATGCAAACAAGGATATAACTCTAAGAAAAGCAAAACGTCAAGAAGCTTCATCCAACTCAACAAAATTGTCTGACAATTTGTACGAATGTGCAGAAGGAACAGAAGCAATTAACGAGTAATTATAATCGCTTTGCGTTAACTATAATATATTTAAATGGATCTTACGAATCAAACCTGGAATTTTCTATACAAATATAATCTATCTATATTATATGAAACATTTATTTATTATTTCGTAAATTACCTTTATAATAAGTAACTGATCAGAAATTATTTTCTCAGGAGAACATCATACAATTTAATTCCAATACGTCGCTGGATGCGTGAACATTACACAAAGTTGACAAGGAACAGAGCAGGATGCAATCATTGTAATACAAAATTTGGTATACATACAACACACTTATATAAGTTACATAAGCACTTGATAGAGGCACATCCAGACAAATTAACAGAAGAAGAAAAGAATGAAGTGAAATTACATTGGGCTTGGGACTATTACATCGAAAAAAGCAGTACAGAAATAACATGTAAACAATGTAAAACAACAATTAGATACAAAAAAGTAAATGATTTGAAAGAACACTTGAAAAGAAACCACGGGTAAGTATCTCATATACATATAAGTACCTCATTCATAGTAAAAAAATTTAAAAACGTACTAAGAAATGTAAAATTGATTACAACAAAATAATCAATATTTGCTAAAGAAATTGTAACCCAAATAAGAACATTCATTTGTCGAAAAATTTGTCAAATATGCGTGTCAGCAAATATAATATAAAACATATCTATTCGTCCTATATGTACATAAATATTCTATAGTTTTATTTTGTACAATAGAATTCGAATTTACTTTCCATGTTTAAAAAGAATTAGTAATATTTGATTACTCTAATTTTTACCGAGGAATGGTCAGATTAACAAAATATTTGAATCTACTTGATCGCTACAATCATGATCGCTTTTAAATGTCCCAGTAATAAGAGTCTAAAAAACGATATTTTTCAAAATTTCCACATAATAGAATATTGTGTATAATTGAAAATAATATCTTTACAGCACTTTTAATATCGCTTTTTTAATAACTTCTTATACATATAAATGTAGGATATCAGGTCCAACTTCAGATAACGTAATAGATAATGAAAACAGTTCAGTTGATGACATGGATGCAAAAAAGGATGAAACTCTAAGAAAAGCAACACGTCAAGATACTTCATCCAACTTAACAAACTTATCCGACAGTTTAAACAAATGTACAGAAGGAATAAAAGGACTTAATGAGTAATTATAATCGCTTTCAATCAACTACAACATATAAATAGATTTTATATATTAAACATTGTATTTCCTATACAATATAATCTATCTATTATGAGAAATATTCATTTATTGTTTCATCAGTTACATGTATAATAATTAACTAATTAGAAGTTATTTTTTTAGGGAAGCACAAAACAATATCGTCCCAATTCGGCTCTGGATGCGTGAACATTACACAAAATTGAAAAGGAACAAAGAAACAAGATGCATTCATTGTAACATAAAATTCATTATATTAGGTATGAACAGTTCATCTACTTTACATAAGCACTTGATAGAAACACATCCAGACAAATTAACAGAAGAAGAAAAGAATGAAGTGAAATTCCATTGGGCTTGGGACTATTACATCGTAAAAAACAGTACAGAAGCAACATGTAAACAATGTAAAAGAACAGTGAGTTGCAATCATATGAAAAATTTGAGAAATCATTTAAAAAGAATTCACG